TTGAAACAACAGATGAGTATTTCCAACAAACAGAAAAGCAAGAGGCAGTAAGGCATTTATTATACATTTTAGAGAGAATGGGAGATAGTTTGGGAGCACACTATTACAAGGATACCATCAGGTCCACATGCTTTGTGGAGAGCCAGATTAGAGATGATAGCAAAAACCATGGAAGGGGCTTATACGCTTTAATCTTAGTGTTCATCTGTAATTTTAGCGCTAAATAGGTTTCTTAAGTAATTCTTCAACAGAATGAATATCAGAAAATAATTAATAAGGAAAAAATATTTAATATTTTTGTTTCTGTAGTTGATATATATTGCGAGTTTTTATCACTTGAAAATACTTGTTGACAATATGAAATACATACAGCCATAACTTCTGTGCAGTACACTCTAAATCCGTACATAAACGCTTTGAGTCGAACTTTTAAAAGAAAATTTTAAGCTAGAGGTAGAATTTTAATGCCAAAATGCAAAATAGTGTAATTAATACCTCATCTCAGAAATATAGACAGATATTAGGGTAGAAGTTTTAATTATACAAGTTTGGTTAAGGAACAATAGATGGTTTTGTAAATAATTTTAAAATAAGTTATTTTGAACTCTTTTCCGGTATTTTAAATAAAAGTCGACCAATTTCTGAGTATTTTTGCCTTTTATAACCGATTATCAAGGAGTTTTTTTTTCTTTTTCGCGCAATGTCAGTTTCATAACTTCTCAAAGATCTCATTTTCTTGTCTTCATGCGAGAGATCGTGTTATCATTTTTAATCAAATATAAGGATTTTCCTGAATTTGCTAACATTTTATTGATGTTTGTTTTTGTTTTTATGCTTAATACTTCTAGTATTTTCAGTTTTTTTTATTTTGCAGCTTATGTGACAGTATTTTCGTGTTATTGGTAAAAATTTGTAGTATTTCTTATTTTGTTTTTCTGTTATGTTGTTATTTTATGCGATATAATTGAACTATTAACAGATAAGTGTCATGTTAATCGGCGCAATAATGTAGTGGGTATAAAACCAAGGTGTGTGTTATTTGAGTACATATTAAAGAAATACACACAAATATATATATATATATATATATATATATATATATATATATATATATACTTATTGATATTCACCACTCAGCTAACTCCAGGTAGGGCTTGCTACCTGTAAGTCCAGAAGCATCTGCACATATTGAGGTATTCTGTTAGTATTAGTAGCGAGACTGTATTCATTGCCGGCTTGATTGGCCTATTGCATAGCTTAAAGATCCTGGTAATTCTCAGATGTCACCCATTAATTACTGAACAGGCTCAACGTTGCTTAATCCTACACTGATAATACGAATTTATAAGAATAACCGATTTTAGAAGTATGATTAAAACACTAATATATGGATCTTTGTAAACTTAAATATTTTTTCGATTACTGTCGAGTCGAGTCGGCTGATATAAACAGTATATAATAATGCTATATAATAATGATTGCTTATGTAGATAGTATATATATTATGTAGATAGTATATAATAATGCTATATAATAATGATTGCTTATATAGATAGTATATAATAATGCTATATAATAATGATTGCTTATATACAAGGTAACCAAAAAAGTTCTCTCAATTTGATTAGTCATTGAATGAAGTTGAAATATATGCGAAATGCGTGTAGCAATTGTTTTCAAATTCGGACAACCGGATGTAGGAATATCAGACGTTATAAAAAACACACGCACCGTGCCCGGCCATCAGTTATAAGCCAGACAGCTGTGAGAAGGATGGAAGTGTCTAGAGATCTCGTTCGGGGCTGTTTGCTTTATGACTTCAAAGTGGGCTTATCAGCAGCTGCACCAAGTCGCCGCATATGTCAAGCGTTTGGGGATAGTGCTGTGGATGAACGTACTGCAAGGTGTTTTCGAAAATTCAAGTCGGGAGATTTGTCTCTCCATGATGAGGCTCGCAGTAGACGACCACGTCCTGAAGGCGGCCATTGAAGAGGACAGTAGTCTAACGTGTGGTGAACTTGCAAGACAGTTCAACGTTTCCGATGAAACAGTTAGACTTCACTTGCACCGCCTAGGTAAGACGTACAAACTGAGTAAGTAAGTTCCGGAAAAGCTATTGGAGGTACACAAGGGACAACGAGTGGCAGCCTGCGTATCGCTGCTTTCTCGCCACCGTACCGCATCCTTATTCAATCGAGTGCTTACCAGTGATGAAAAGTGGGTTCTGTACGAAACTCCCAAGCGTTCCAGACATTGGTTGTCTCCTCAGGATGCTGTCCCTCACACCGCAAGACCGCCTATGCACCCACGCAAGATTATGCTTTATGTCTGGTGGACAGGTCGTCAAGTGGTTCATTATGAACTGCTACCAACGGGCCAAACGGTCACTGGAGACCTATACCCGCAGCAATTGAAACGTGTGCAACAGGCATTGCGCCAGAATGAGCCTGAACTGGTGAATCGCAAACGTATGCTTTTCTACCATGACAACGCCAGGCCGCATGTCGCGCGAGTGTTCAGGGATACCATACAGCAACTTGGGTGGGAGACTTTGTGCCATCCACCTTATTCACCTGACCTTGCGCCATCCGATTACCATCTCTTCCACTCCCTGGATAATCATCTTCATGGGAAATCTTTCACCAATGAAGCAGACATGCGCAAAGCCCTCACGGACTTCTTTGCGTCAAAACCCCTAGAGTTCTACCGCAAGGGCATTGAACAGCTGGAGACACGTTGGCAGAAGGTGCTGGATGCCGATGGCGATTACTTCGAAGACTAAATATAAGTTACACATACTGCGAAGCGTTTTCTTTTTTTCCTTTGAAAACGGACAGAACTTTCTTGGTTACTTTGTAGATATATAATAATGGTATATTATAATGATTGCTATGCCAGAAATTGAAGCTCAACAAATACCCAACATTGATTTATCATAAACTGAAAATTATCAATTCTTTTATATTGCAGAATTTACAATTATTTTTTTTTTTTACTAGTTCCAATTATTTTTGTTCTGAATCGTTCAAATTACAAAAATATTCGCCTTTATTTAGACTTTCATCTTTTAATTATGATCAGCTGAATTTGTGTTTGTTGAAAGGCGTAACATAAAATGACACAAATCTCAATTAACTGTTGTAACAAAATCGGTGCCCAGTTACACAAGACTTTAAAATCTATTGTCCACAGACAATATATATTCATTAGACGATTGTTTTCTTTTCGATTCAATTTACAAAGATCGACGACAAGTTTATTTAATTTTTTTTTTTCCGAGACATGAGTGTACCAAGGTTCCTACTAATTTCTAGTAATCATTATAAGCAGAAATATTGTCTACATTTTCTTTTGTGACAAAAATATATAATTGAGTATACAATCGTGGCTGATAAACCTCTATTAGTTCGGTGAGAGAATACTTTTGGGCTAACCGAAAAGTTCGTTCGGTTTATTGAGTATATTTTTAACTTAATAAGCGAACGAACTTTTTGACCAACCCAATATGATTAAGTTATAGTAGCACAGTACCCGTAAAAAATGACTGTTTTTTTAACGTATGGATCGGTATGTATCCCTTGGAGTGCACTTCGTCCAGTAACAGAACGCAACCTCCCTGCCTTGTGATTAGGATCAAAATGTAGTCCTCCTCGTAGCCATTTTCCCGTATTATGGTTTGAGACGTAGACGCCGTTGTTTCTGCATTCAGACAATTTACGGCAAAGCAGTGAAAAATTAATAGCTGGAGTTCCAACCTAGCAACACAATCTCCACCATGTTCAGTGTACGATTGTTTTCTTTTCGGTTTAATTTACAAAGATTGACAAGTTTACTTTTTTTTTTTTTCTCGCGACACTAGTGTATCGATCTTACTATTTTTTTATGATGACTATAAGCAAATATATTGTCTAGATCATTTTGTTATGTGCCGACTTAGGGTTTTAAAATTATTCAGTATGCCAACAGCATACATATTTTTTATACAAGTCTAGGTCAATATACCTGTTCTACAATATATTTTATATAGCAATATATAGCATGTATATATTAAGAAATGGACAAGGTCCGACAATTTATTTATTAAAGACATAATACTTTAGCATGTATTAAAATTGAAACGGCTAAATATCTTTGCGTTGTAGTAGTTATTGGTTCGGACATTGTGATGTCATTTGTGGCTGCGTTCCATTGGAAATCTTTTGTGACAAAAATATAAATAATAACTGAATAACTGTATGTCAGGTAATTAAGAACAAATAAGAAAAAAAACAAAGTTATTTAAGAGAAAAGGTTCAGTATATTTTCAAAAACAAATTGTACAGATTTTCAACTTAGAAAAACAAAGAAGTTATCCAATACGATCGCTTTCAGCTTCGATGCGCCCTTGAAGCGACTGCACGATCGTGAAGCTACTCAGACACTGCTGGATTTCATGGGTCGTGTTGGATGGAGTAGATTTCTGTTATTATACAAGCAGTCACCCAAACAATCCTTGTCGAGATCACTGTATCCAGCATATCGATGTAAGCGGGTGACATTTGTTCCGAGTCTCTGTCGGGTGGTATTAGATCACATTGTTCACAAACCCCAAGACTATCACATCAATATAAACAGAGTGTGAATGATCGTATTTACCTCCGTAGGACGTTCGCGTAAAACAACCTGATGTTTTTCCTGTTCATCTCGACAATATCAAGAAGCTGTATCTTTCTATATTGATGAGGTATGTAAATAATTACAAAAAAATATGCCTACTAGATTAAATTGTAGTAGTGCACACTTAGAAACAGAGCGAGGTATAACTGAGTAATCCTAACGAACTATACAAGATACTCCTAGATATGGTCAGTGGAATGAGAACACTCTACTCTCGTAGATTAAATAAAGGGTCGAGTTCGAAGTTTACTCGGAGAGATAAGGCCCTGATGAAGGCCGAAACTCGTGATAACAAAGATGATGATAATAGCAAGAGTGTAAATAATATAAATGAACAGTATAACTTACGGCCACATCACGTTGAAACACCGGTTCTTGTCCGATCACCGAAGTTAAGCAACGTTGAATCTGGTCAGAAGCTAGATGGGTGACTAATGGTGAATACCAGGTGCTGTAACTTTCGATGTTCGGGTGGTGTAATGAATAATGGCTCGGAATGAGAAATGGGAGAGCTGAGTTCGAACTCCAGTCACTTACGTACAAATATCCGTGCGAAAGGTATGAATCCACTTTTTTCCTCCCAGCTATGGGTTAAATAGTAACACCTGTATTAGCAAATCATTATTATCTCCCCCGCCACAGAAAATTCTTACAATACAAAAATATATATTGGTTTTAAATAACTTCAAATGGTGGATAAGCCGTAAAAACGAATCAATCAATCAACTGAACAGGATATTTACTTAATTCATCTAGGCAAAACATTTAACATCTTTAATCAATTAAGATCTGAAACCATGAGAGTCTGCCTGATGTAAAATCAGGGCATTTTATTATTATTATTATTATTATTATAATAATATTTTGATTTCTGCTATAGTCACACTACCTATCAAGCCTGCGGGAAAACCTAAGTCAGGTAGTGATGTAATGTTATGGCTACATTTCATGATTTTTTTTTATAATTGCCATAACATCACTAGCGTTACATGAACAAAGTTCTTCTTAGTGTGTGGGCTGAACAATTTTTTGTATCTATCTTAAGCTGGGATTTCCAGGGTTTTTTTCAATGTGTTGTTGTGTTCCTTGTTTTATCATTCCAAGCGCACCTACTATGACTAATACTATTCTTGTATTCAATTTCCACATTTTTTTCTATTTCGATGTCCAGGTCTTTATACTTCGATAGTTTTTCAAATTCATTGGTTGCTATGTTACAGTCTGATGGACAAACCATATCAGTTAGTAGGCAAGTTTTTTCTATGCGGTTTTTGGCAATTATATGCAGTCTATTTGCTTCAGTTTTCCTGTCTGTAAAGTTGGTTTAATCCCATAGAATTGGGATATCTTCTATATCTGTAAATGGTGCTGCGTGATATTCATTCCAGTGTTTATTAACATCGTTTCCAAAGTGCAGATTGTCCCACACTATCGTGACGATTTTTATGTTCATTTGGCGCAAGTAAAAATATTCTGAGATGAAATAGTCTATAGTTTCCTGATATTTGTCACAAAACCTGAACTTTGGATCCATACTCTTATGCATTATATTTGCCTGAAAGTTTTTAGTAAAAGACTCTGGTCTTGCGCTGCAAGAATAAAGCCTTCCATTTCAGCCTTTAATCCAGATGCTCGTAACCATCGATGAGTGTTAACTTTATTAACATTGGCTTTATTAGCCTCGTTCTGGATATTGGCCACGCGGAGGTTTGTCTTGCCAGCATTGCTTCATCAGTTCAAGAACTTTATTCTTGGCTTTCTTTTCCATATATTTTGCTGCAACAGTTGATTCTTGGGTTCTGTTTTGGTTTTCTACAGAATCTACTAGATGTAAATCTCGTTTGTATTTACTAACTTCTTTTTCTTTCTGTTTTCGTTTTGTTCGACTGATTGTATCACCCAGTACTTTGTTGTATGTATGTGAGTAATCCAATAGTTGTTGTCTCATATGACAATATAGCTAAATAAAACCTCTTCCACCTTCTTTACGGGGTATGTATAGACGGTCTGCATCAGCCTTTGGATGATGCATGTTATGTTTAAAAAGAAGCTTTCTTGTCTTAGAATTTATTCGTTGATATTAGAGTCCAGTTCAAGATGTTGAAACTATATTGAACCACTGGGATGGCAAGGCTATTAATGTCCATAATTCTGTTCTGAAAATTCAGTTCAGTTCTTAATATTTGCTGCACCCTTTTATGGTAATCTTTTCTCATTATTTTTCATTTTTCACCCTCTTTTACGCCGAGGTACTTATAAGCTTCTTTTTGCTCTAAATCTTTGATTGTTACCCTAGGGTCTAAGCTAATAGAGGAGGTTTTTGTAGTGACCAACGTAAAATTGTGGCTTTAGCACATTTATCCAAACAGAATTCCATTCCATTTTCATCACTGAAACATTTTACTGTCTTCAGGAGACCTTCCAGCTCACTGTCATTCCTGGCATACAACTTTAAGTCATCCGTGTAAAATAGATGGTTCAAGAGGTAGTATGCCATTTTTTTCTAAGAAAGAATATGTCAGTTTTGTCAAAATAGATGTCAACAGTTTGTAAGTAGTGGGAAGGCATGTAATTGGTCTGTAGTTTTTGGAACATTTGTTTCGCCATTCTTGGGTAGAAGGAAGGTAATTCCTTTGGTTACCTATACCGGAATTTTAGTAAGATCATTGAGCATTTTTTAAAATTCTTTGGCTAGTTTCTGTGTGTTGTATTTAAATAATAGAACCAAAAGTTAGGAATTTTATTTATTCCGGGAGATTTCCTGTTGTGTCCTTTTTTCAGTGAACATTCAACATCCGCTTCTGTGATTCCCACCCATGTTTGTTCTGGTCTATTTTTCATCCGTTCTACATCTTGCGTAATCCAATCTGCTTCTTATGTTCGTTAAGGCAAGCCCATACTTTTGCCATCCTTTTATAATCTCTTCCATTGTTGAGAGGTGGAGATGTCACTTCTCTGTAAAATGTCTTCGCATTGGTTTTAAAAGATCTTATTCTGTCTGTAGAATCTTGATCTTTTTTCATAGCGTCTGATTCTTTCAACCTTCAGTTGTATTGTTTGCCTTATTTTTTCTTTAGCTGATAGGACGTCATTTTCATTCCTAATTTTGTATTTTCTTTTGACTTTTCAGCCTTCTCTAGTTATTACATCTGTTCCTCTTGCCAGTTCATCGAGTACTGATAATTCACTTTTAAGTTGTTCAATTTCTTTCTCTGTTTTTCTTTTCCAATGTGGATCTTCATGTCTGTGAGATTGCCATTTTTTTACTTTGATGTTTCGTTTTTTAGTTGCAATGCAATTATTGCTTCACACAGAATTAATTTGAGTGCTGCATTGTAGACTTAAATAGTTTTTAGTTTATGCATTATTGATTGTAATTTTGGGTGTTGTTCTCGTTCCTCTATTTCAATATTTTGTGTCTAGCTTATGTATCTCATGATTTCTTCCTTGGCTTTTTATATACTATTCTTGTTTTCCGTAAAAATGATTCTGTTCAAAGTGTTTTGGACTCGTTTTATTGCAGGCTTGTGATCGACTAAAATCACGCCTTTCCAACTCTTTTAAACTTTCAGAATTATCTTCACAGTAATTGGTGTGCATCTAAGTTTTTCTTTATGATTTGTGGTTTTTGTGATGTTAGTACTTTTTATGTTCATTTCTTTTTACCTTTCATGTTCTGTTGATTCACCAATTCTGGTTGCAGCTTTTTTTTTATTTCTTTAATTTCAGCACCAATCGATTATTTCTCATGCTATACCTTCTTACATGGATTAGTTTATTATTGTCAATGTACTTTCTAATTGCTTTCCCAATCTTTTCTCGTCAAATGTCATATGTCTGGCGAGTGATGTTTTTCTGAGGTTTGTGCAACGTTTCATAGAATACAGTCATAACGAGATTGTACAACTCACGAGACCATTTTTACCTTTTCTTTCTTTAAATGAATGATTGTGGATCTAGTTGGAGAATTTGCAGGACCATCATTGAGATTATCCTGGTTGTGTGGGATTCATTATTTGCGTAGGAGTTTATTCCTATGACAGATTTTTCAACTTCAGGTAGGTTCTCTCTTGAGGGAAGTGTTCCCTGTTTATCCACAGAAAGAGTCATACTGGAATCTTTGGTATGACTTTTACTTCTCATATTGTTTCCACAAGTAAAGCACGGGTCCAAAAGTCCACCTAAAGCCACCCGGCATATTGGGTAACGGTCTTTTACAGATAGAGGCCAGAAACTTATAACGTAGCAGCCGTTCACCCCTCGGCGCGATTAACACCCTGAGTTGCAGGTTGCTGTTCGAAGTTTTCCTTCTCCTAGATGGGTGGCAAGAGACAAAGACGCGATTGGAATTAAAAAAGAAAGACGTCGGAAAAAGACATTTCAACGAAACAAAACATTATTATACTAGAGAATTATGTTTAAATAATACATTATATATTTATAATTATAAAAAATGATGGTTATTTTTATACTCTTGTTGCTACTGCTCTTGTTAATCAAATTAGTTGTTAATTAATTAAAAAATATTATTGTTTTTGATACCATCACTGGTCCTTTTAACGAAATTAATTGTCAAAAAATAGTTTAATGGAAAAAAGTTAACATTCGGTTAATAAAGTTTAGAATTTATACGAAGCATAACGTATCACTGCTGTGAAATTAAATAATAATAACAATGTTTAATATTTTTTTAAATAATAAGATTAAGTAAAATATCCCTGTAAATTGAAAATATAGATAATATTTTACTTAGAGTTATCTGCAACTAATGTCGTAGTCATTCTAAGGAATACATGAATAATAAAGATAAGAAAACTATTTGAATAATCAGTCAGGATTATTAAAAGAGAAACACATAAACTAAATAAATAAAATAAATACTACTACTACTACTACTACTAATAATAATAATAATTCCTATTTACGTTAAAATAGTAGTAAAAATAACAATTTAATATTTACGATTTTAAAAAAAGCGTAAAATTTTCAGAACCTTCGACAAACACAATATTCTCGCTGTAATTTCAACTGCGTCACTTCTTCTCCTCCTCCTTTGGATTTCTGTTGTATACACATTTTTCCGGGTCCCAACCAGGGAGCTAAGATCAGAAATGGCTTCATGACATTTTCCGCCGATCATAGTAAAAAAATTGTAACAAAAAAAAAAAAAAAAAAAAAAAAAAGAAAAATGTGTATGTAGTCCTATAAAATTGTTACAGGTTCTATCTCTGTAACCAGATCTGGTTGATTTCCATACCAGTTTCTTGCAATTTCCTTCCCGTAAAAGTTGCATATTTTCTAGTACAGATATTGATCTACTCTATCATACCAAGTTTTATATTCACTGGGTGCTAACCTGATACAAGAGGGTCAAGTGTTCCTGGATATTTATTACAGAATCTGCATTTCGGATTAACACAATTTTTCAGTATGTGTGCTTGGTAATTTCTGGTTAGC